TTTTTTTATTTTCTTTATTTTGTTGTTGATTTATTTTCTTCTTTCTTTGAAACCCATGTAATACGCCCACCTATATTAACGTACTTACTATTTTTGCTACATACATACAGACATACCATATAACATATCTAGAGTACAATGCTACATAGTTTAAAAGAACTTCCTTACGAAACTAGTACATTATATTTTTGCGTTATTTGCAGAAAATTAAAACAAAAACAACAATAGTGAAAGGCAAAATAGAAAAATGAATGAAAATAGAAATTTAAGAATGAATGTCTCACTGAATGTAAAAAGCTCCTTCGATATATTTTATAGTATCGTTGGTAGTGCAATTTCAATTCCTTCAACTATGATTTTTGTTCTTGTTAAGAATGCTGTCGTCAGTCGGTCGAACATAAAGTGCCAACGACCCAGTTTAAAATTAGTTTTCTATTCAGCTTACACAACTACTGCCAAAGTAAAATATTGGTTTTAAGAATAAAATCAAGTTAAGTAATGCTAAAGAATGAAAATCGATTTTAATTTTTCGTAGTATTTATACTCGTAAAAGTATAGGATTTATTGTGATATAATTGTTAATTGGCAAATTTAAACTCTTCGTGTTCCATCAATAAATTTCACTTACGCTACAAAAATTAACTTGCTTTATGTAATTAACTAAAAGCACTGATAATAAAAATCATCTCTCGAACAGCATTTTTTTAATCAAGAATGTGCAAACCTCGTGAATTTTGTCAAATCACACCTATTCGCATTTGCAGATCAGCAACTAGGCCGAAATAGGAAGAAAAACTGGTATTATATGTATTGTAGATCTATAATAAAGCACCGATAATAACTATTATCTATACATATTGTATCCATGTGATCATTCTGGATTGTTAAGATATTTTGTTTTTAATTGTTTGTTCCTGTTTGACTGGATTACCATACAAAATCATATTTAGTAAACCGACTAATAAGGTTTTTAACTATCCCATGAATTGTTCCTTATGTCCTGTAATGGAATCAAACAATGAAGTTATGCTCTTTATTTAGCTATATTTAGTCTTTTGCCCACTCATTTCTTTTTTGTTTTTGGTTTTTCTAATGTTGGGATATCAGTTTTTTGGGAAGACAAGTAATTTTCTTTTGTACTCCTCTCTTATGATTGTTTTTGGACGACCTTTTGTAGCTCTGTAGATGAGTGCGTTCATTGGATATACTGTTGTTGGAACGTATTCTTTGATTTCCTTGACAGGTTATTGTAGATTTATATTTATTAAATTTTGAAAAATCGAAAACTCCTATCAATTTTTAACTTTCACATATAAAAATTTGAAATTAACTAAACAGATAAAATGAAGCCGAAATCATTATGATTAAATTTTTCTTCAAAACTTATGCAAAGTTCGTTGTTCAGGATCGGCAAGTACAAATATAATGCAGACGATTACAGTTTGAACACGGAAACAACCTATATAAGCTGAAATCTCATAAATAGTGAATAAATAGTGTCATAAATAGTGACTAAAATGCAGGATAAGTTCCCTATTGAAAGTCAGAAATTCAGTTCTCGCTCTTAAGAGAAGTTGTGATATGGAAAATTGAACAGTAAGTTTAAATGCTAAAATGAAACTATTTTTTATTACAAAATTTTAACTATTTATAAAAAGTTTTTTCTGCTCGAAGGTATATGAAATATTGACCCACATCCTTTCTCTTCAAAACTGTTTTGACATTCTTAAATGTGTCAAATAAAATTGGTTTTGCAGAAATGTAAAGAAAGTGCATTTGACCTTACCGTCCGGCTTAATTCTAAAAAAACATTGACAGCGATCTACTTCTGTGTATAATCGCAATGTACAATGTATCAAGTGTACTATGGGTGAATGACTTACAAGTCATTGAACAAGACTTACAAATTTTACATAAAATAGTACATAAAATAATCATGAATAAAAAAAATACGCTACATTTCTGTTACAAACAGGACACCACTGATATGTGCCTTCTCTAATTTTTTCTAAATAGACAGTTATTTATAACCAAAAATATAGAATACAAATGATATGTATCTACTGTTTGTTATATAGTCGAATAACCGATCTCTTTATATAACTACAGATACTAGACACGACTTATGCGTCCGTCTTTAAATAGAGTGATAAATAAACATAGATAGAGTAGCACATAGAACAAGATTTTGTACCCCAAAGCACCTATGTGTAACATAATTCGTTTAGAACCTTAAATCTAAAGGCCTTAAGCCTTAATGTGATATTTATATTAAAGGATTTTGTTAGGATTTAGAGTTCGTTAACAAACTTTTGTTTCATTTCTGACATCTAGAATATAGACTGTAAATGTACTTTGTTTTCAAAAAATGGTATGAGCCAAGAAGTGAGTGATACACAACTATAGATAGAATATAGTAGTGCAAAATTTTGTGCCCAGAAAAAGCTGTATGTAACATACTTGGACACAGAATTCAAATTAATAGAAATTACATCAAAATATTTTTTGAATTTAATATTTATGTTACCGGATTTTGTTGAAATCAAGTATAAGTAAAATTTTTTTTCATTTTTGACATCTAGAATATAGATTGTAACTGTAGCTTGTTTTCATAAATTATTACAAAATAATGTTATAATAGATGTAATTTTTTCTTTCAGAGTTGTAAAAAAACAGCATTAAGTCTGGTTAAAACGAATTGGCATCACATTTAAAGTATGTTAAATGCTTATTTTCGACATATGTTTTTTGTTGTGTTTTGCACAATATGAAATATAAAAATATTGAAATATAAAAATAATAGAAATTAATTTATTTAATTTTTATTTTTAATATTTAATTTATTAGTAAATGAAATGCTCATAGGAATTTAACAGATGACTGCAGTTTTGCAACATGTTTCCAGTGAACATTCACAATAGACTGACTTTTCAAATTGGCTGCACTAAAACTTAAGACGTAAAGATCTTTGCGAGTAAAACCTAACTCTGAATATTTTAAGAGTATTGTTGTTGCTTCACATGTTTTCTTTCGTAAGTTGTGAGTATTTTTTGCTACTCTGAAAGAAAAAATTACGGCTAATATGTATTCAAATGTCTTTAAAATTTTTTATAGTATATTTTTGAAATGTAATTTTTATATAGAAACCCTTTTTGTAATATTAAAAATATTTTTTTATTGTTTAAATCGATGTATCTAAATATTATGCACACATTTGCTAAAGCTTTACTTAAACAATTCTTTTCTTCTCTCTTAAATTTGATTTGATTTACTTGATTTATCGACACTATAGATATTCTACGATAAATACTTATTATCTATATATTATAATATTTAAGAATATGTGTTAAATTTACATAATTTACTTAAATAAAATAACTAATTGGATTTTGTAACCCTGACTAAAATGTAAAAAGGTAAGAACTAAAATTTTGAAAGTGCCTTTTCATGGCCCATCTGAAACATTAAATAATAAAATTAAGTCTCATAAACATTTTTAGTATTCTCTTCGAATATTCAGTGTTCATTTGGAAGTGTAACGATCTGAATAAACATCCTTTCAGACATTTTAGAGAATTATTTTCTACCTTTGACACGGCGTTTTGCGTTGTTTTTACATGCTTTTATCATGAATTCATAACAAACACGTAAATGCTGAAAGAAATGTAAGGGAAAATCAATAAAATCGTAAAATTTCCCGCAATCATGTGTAACGCATTTGATAAGTATATGATTGTATGCTTGTAAGAAAAGATATTTTCTTTGTAAAGTATTAACACACATACAAACATTCAATTTACATCAACAAAATTATATTCTAATATTTATACTCATGCATATACTCACGTACGTCTGTAGATACTTCTTTTGCTATTTCTTTGCAAACACCTACGATGTTTGTAAGAATATCTTTAAATTTGCTTTCAATAAAGGATAAGTTATAAATTGATAAAAATATATTTGAATGCTCGCTAAAATAAAAGATACGTAAATACATCAAATTAAGTCAATAAAGTCAGTTTACACCCTAATGCTTTTCGCAGTGAATGGAAGTAAAAATAAATTCGA